TGCTTCCTGTTTACACAAGCACATGCATGTCCAGTGTATGTGAATGGTTATGTGATATCTCAGGTGTGGTAGTATGGACGGAGATTATTTGTGATACAGAGCTGAAACGGCTGCCTGGACGGAGATCGTTTTTGATTAAAATGAAAATATCATTGTGGAACTTGTTGATGCCGGTGTTCCTGAAACAGATGTGTGACGTGTAACACAACAGCATCACAATGCCGGCTCCCCCTTTTACACAGATGTCGATCTGGCTCTTTGACAGCCTCTGCAGCCAGCTTATGCTCCCACCCCCTATTGTGATGTCAGAGGTCAGCAATGACTTCTATGCAATTTATGCAATAACGTGCTCAGTAGCACTTCGGCGGGAACTGAGTTTTCTGGTTGAAAGTTGGTCATCCTAACGACTAACTGGTGAAAATGAAGCAGAAAGTGCATTAGAGTCTGGAGTCTCAAACTAGGTTTTTTAGGCTTTACACCTGCACATTTTAGAAGCTTTTGACGTGTGCTTATATCACTTGTCGATTGTTGTTTGATCTTGGAGTCATCACTATCTTTGAAGATCAACATTTATCAAGGCAATGGCTCATGACTGTGACCTGAGATCAAATTGTGATCGGGGGGCTGCTGCCACAGGCAGATTGGTGGGCAGGAATTCTTAACAGTACAGATTGGGTGATAACGAGAAAGTGCTCTAAACAGCCTTAATTGGCTTTGGCCTTAAACTTCTACAACTTCCCAACAGATAAGTGATTTTGGGAGTCATGGCTCTTGGCTGAGGAAAGCTTCTGGGAAGATAAATCTCTCGTGTGAAGCTTGTGATCAGAGTGAGCTGACGAGGGCAGGCTCAGACACTCGATCATCAGTGAAATGGTATGCTCTCTTGTAGCAAATACAGATGATAAGAAACGAGAAATAAGAGGTGTTTTACTTTTGGTTTGAAAGAATTTCAAAGACTCAACTGGACCAGTTGATCACATGAAACTGTGCTTTGCCTTTGTTGAATCTCAACATAAGCGCTATACATAATATATAACATAATTGTTAGAGTTGCTCCACTAGTGAATCAAAGTGTATTGTGATACCATAAAATGGCCAATGTGCTTCCTGATCTACATACATTTGAGAATACAAAACTAAAAGAAGCTAAATTCCTCTCACAAATACCTACAATTCTATTGTAAAAAAACAAGAGTTTTTTTGAATCTGTAATTTTATGTCTGCAACATTACATTAGCATAATGCTACTTTCTCAGCCAGATCTTTCCTGCAAAAGACATCCACAATCTTAATGGGACTAATTGGTTAATAAAGGTTAAATAAATAGAACTTAATTCGCCTTCTGTATTTGTAAAGAGATATTCAGAGAGATAGCCTTCCAGTATAAAGTCATGCAAACAGGATCTCATTAGCAAATGCAAATGAGAAAACACCAAATCTTCGCAGAGAGGCAGAAGTGTATCTCCATGGGATAGCTGGAACATGACAGCTCACCAACCGCCCCCACGCTGAGCACCAAATGTGATGGTCCGCTCCTGCTGCTACTCTTAACAGGATGTAGGACCAAACCATAAATGTAAGCGTAGGGGGGGGAGATTAAGGAAGAGTATCACCAGAGGCCTTCATCGTCTCACATTTGAACCTGCTGTAAAAACTCTCAGTGGTTAATATTAGTTTGTGAAATAAGAATCCCAGTATTTGTTATGGCTGTATTTATCATAAAGCACAATTTGTCGCCACTATTACGGTTATATTAATTATTGATCAAGGTTCTAAGGTTCTAATGATATGTCCATTATTGTTTTCCATTTTTTTTCATATATGTGATGACCAAAGTCTTTTTTTTATGTAATAGCTACTTTTATACTCTACGAGCAAGTTAGTTTCGATCTGGCAAGAAGTCTGCTCTTCATGCAGTGGTAACTAACTACAACTATGAGCTGTAAACGTTTTAATTACAAATGTACAAGTAGTGGCAGTAAGTTTTTTTTTCTTTTTCTTTTTGCACAGGACAGATCGTATAAGGAAATAAGGGAATAACATTTCTGGATTTTGTCTATGATCTGTGAAGGCAGTTGATCAGTTACTATGGCAGAAAACTGAGATCACATTCAATTAAAGCGATAATTAATTAGGTTTGTATGTCTGTAAGTTGTTGAGAGGGTATTTCCCAGGAAGTGAGAAAGGCAAACCTTCAGAGCCAATCATAACACTCCTCTGAGAGTGTGTCTGTCGTGACATCACAAGCTGTGGCGGGCAGAGTTCCTGGCATGGCTTCAGACCAACAGACCTTCTGCTACCGGCAGGGTGGCAGTGGCCTAGGGCAGGGCGGTGACGGCCAGGTCACCAGCTTTTTCCTGCCTGGCATGAGCACCGCGGGAGAGGTGACCGGCAGGATGGCAAGATGTCAGAAACAGCCCTTTAGATGTGTCAAAAAGCAGGCACAGTTAGGGGAAGCTGCTCATCGAGTGTGACAGAGTGAGGAGTGAGGCCAGTCAGAGAGGATGCCCAATAAATACGTAAAAGCCAAACAGCATTTTGGGATGTATAGAGGCGGTTTAAAAAAAAAAAAAAAAGGTATGATTTTGGCAATGAGATAAGCTGATATAAGATAGAAAATATGTTTTCATCTTTAAGGAGAGCTATAGTGAACAATCAATGGGCCCATGCCTGTATGTATTTTAAGTGAAGAGCAGGGGGAAAAGGCAAACAAGGGCAAAAGGTGTCAAAGATTCTCTCCAGACATGTTTCAATCATATACAAATACTCAGCTTTGAGTAATAATTTGTGTCTGGTATGGGTTTCCCACAGAAAGTTAAATGAACTCATTAAAAATTCTTTCAAAATCCAGATCCTCAGTGTATATGCAATCGAGGTTTCAAATTTCCACATTACACTTGTGTGACTTGCCTTTTGGGCTGTGACTTATGGCACTTATGTCACGAAAAAATCATATTCATACATAAACGTGTTAACTGAGATTTAAGGTGAGCACAGATAAAAATTTCCCCCTTAAGTAGATGAATGTGAGAACAGCCTCTCTGTCAAACTCTGCACATAAACTCTGCGCTGAATTCCAACTGAAGGAGCAATATGCAAAATGGATTTGTGTGCACATTACGTCAGTGAATGCGCGCTGCTGGGACAGTGTTTGTCCCTGCACTGCTGGGACGAATAGATGCTTATCTAGAAACTGCAATAGAAATTTTTCAAGACTCCACACATTCACACTTCTGAGTCACTGGTTTACCATCAAAGCACGTGACCATATGTGTATGCGTGTCAGATGCGTAGTTTGCTAAATAAAGAGAGCGAGGGAGAGAGAGAAAGTTTAATATGCTTGAATTGAGAGTCACCATTATAATATGTAACAGTAAATGTATGTAAATATATGTACGTATTTGTGTATTAATATACCGAAAAATGGAAACAGGCGAGCAGGGGAAAATGCTGCTTGTTCAGAGTAAATTCAGGATAAATGAAACTGCTTTGCACACCATGATCTGTGAATTCTTACTCTATATTCATGACTTCCTGAAACAATCAAACAACTCAATTAGTTTATCAGTGCAATCAACAGAAGTGTATTAGCTTTAGACTGTTTGCTGTTCAAATAGTTTACCCAAATAGTTGATTTGTCTTGTTTGATGTGCGGTGTGTTTATTTCAGAGGTGACTACCTGCTTCACTAATCCTCTCACTGCCTTTATCATGTAAACTTTTCTCCAAGCGAGCAGCAGCTGCAGCTGAGCAGCGTCTGGTCTTGAGAGGGGAGCGGGTCTTTAAGCTGTGAAAAGGTGTGCCGTTAGCACCGTAATGTAGCAGTATTTTAACGTCTGTAACGGGTTTCCTTTGAACCGAAGAAGTGGGAAGTATCAAGGAGGAAACAGTCTGATATGGGCCCCTTTAAAAGCTAAAATTATCTGTGAATTCTTTGCACGTCTGTGACTAATCTTACTGTACACTGGGACAGTGTTTGACATCAACACTGTACCTATACAGTTTGTCTGTGAGTTCAGGTGTGAACTTGTTGACGATGTCATGTGATCTTTAAAATAGATCATTGTGTCTCTATTTCTGTGTCTGTGAAGATAAACACAGGAACACATCTTTTTCTTCATAAAGTATTTACCTGTTTTTCCATGTAACCCTCTTCTGACAATTACGCCTTGGCTGCTCCTCTAGTAGGGGCTCTTCACTCTTCAGCCCCATTAGCAATGATGAGTGGGATCATATTTATCTGCACTCGTCTTTCACAGCTATAGACTGCGATGAGTTTCAGTCATGACAAGTTAAATATGTGAAGCATTTGTAGCAACACTGACATTAAAATTAAAGAATCATATGTACTAATATAATGTTTGATATGTTTGTTATTATCAGAGAGGCACATTTACTTTCCCAGTTCTTACTTCACAGACACATTTTGTACATGTTATTGTAGGTAAAATATCACAATGGCTGAAGCATGAAATTAGGGCTCTACTTAAAGTTGAAACCAGCAGTGATTTTCAAATTGTTGTTTTTTATACATTTTTGGAGCTAATTTTGTGGGTGAAGTAAATGTTTTTTTAAAAATAAAAAAAATCCAGATCAGCACCTCCTTTCATAAATCTGAAGATGAATGTATTTTTCTCTTTGTGTTAAAATGGATTTCATGGGTTCTTAGACAAGGAGCAGTGTTCTACAAAGTCTTATATAACAATATAAGGCACAGTAAGGTCACCATAAACCGACAGACACACTCTGAGCCCTGATGGGAGTGTTATTTTGGTGATGTCTTTGTGAGGATGATAAGATGGAAACAATTCACGGATGGATTGGGAAGCAGCAGCCTCGCTCTCATGCACCTTTGGATAGATGCTGAGGATCCCCCGCCCCTCCCCTGGAGATCAGAGGAGAATCTGATAATAGGCTGCTATCTGTGCGTCATGGCCACAAGGAGAGAGCAGCGGTGAAAACGGGAGTGCGCCTCTACGCTCAGATAAGTCCGCCTCCACATGGCTCAGGTTTTATCTTCTGCTCCCTCCTCGACCTCAAACACAACATGATGTCATGTGCTGGTATGGGCTCAGCTTCGCAGGTTGTTTCGAGGGGTGCCTGAGAGAGTTTTTATTTTGTTAGAATAATTTTTTGTGTCTTGAACTTGATTTGCAAAAGGAACCAGGAGGAAGAATCGCTTGGTGAGTTTATACGTTTTGATATATTTTTTATAGGCCTATGTGATCTATGTATCTTAAGTTTTTATCACACTCTCTGATTAAATATTATTTTAAATGTAATAAATGAGAAATTAACAGATTATTTGCCACAAAATACAGCTAACAATGAATTTATTGTTTTATATGTTGTTATTTACAGGGAATTGAGCCTCATTAAATTATTTTATTTGTCTATACACAGATATAGGCTATTTGTAGCCAATTTTTTTATTCATTTTTCTCTATATGGCAGTTTAGATTTGTTTGTTGTCATTTGTCACATCGGACTGTCTGATCCAGGAAACATCACAGGTTTCTTCAAACGGAAAAATAATTGGCTATTTCCCTTTTTCACGTCTGGTGTCCCGGTGGGACACAGAACCGCATCAGATCTATGAATGAATGCAAATTCATTAACTCTGAATAATAACATAGGATTAACAACATCACATCTCTTACTAAGAAAGTAACTCTACATATGTTTACAGTGTGTTTTTCAAAATTATTTTTTATAAAGATAAATGGCTTGCTAAACTGATGACATGCATGTATTCTTGTAAATACTATGGGGTTATAACATTATGAAATGCTAAAAAATAAAATGAAATAAAACCAAATAAATAGCACGATTTGCTTTTACCGAAGAATTTGCCTTCATGAGATTCTCTCAAAATATGCCACGGATTTCAAGAGTCGGGGGCGAGCTTTCACCTCACACTACAAGACAACCCCCAAAAATCTGTGCATTACTTCAAGTTTGTCAGATGACTTACAAGAAACTAGGTCTTAGCTGGAGGCGAATCATCTCCAATATTATCCAAATAAAACAACATTTTTAAAATTTATTTTTTAATGTTGACCAGACACATAGCCAACTGTCCCATTCAGTTGCATTAGATAGAAAATAAATTGTCTGTTTGAACTTTTGACCTGAATCACATCGCGGATACTGTAGCCTCTGAACTACTAAAAATCAAAGTGCCTTACACTAAATTTAATTGAATAATCTCCCTAACCTAATAATCCTAATACAGAAAAAAAGATAATTTAAAAAAGTAAAGACCGAGGAGCCTCTTTTTAAGTTACAGTAAAACCACAATGACCGGAGAAGAAGTCAAAGACCGAAATTGAAAATTTCAAGTTTGGTATAGACTTGACAGCCATAGTCTGATACGCCCACACAGATGTAGCTTTGATATGACAGCCACTTTCCACACACATCTCTATGCATTGTCGTGTAACTATACGTGCACTTTCCCTGCTTGGCACTTGCATCGGGCCTTTCAAATGCTGGTGACTCAGGAAACCAAATGACTTGATATGTAGCCTATAGGCTGTCCCTAACTCTATCCTGTTTCTGTCTCAGGGACTCAGACTGCAGTGGATGCATGTTTTTAGAACAAGACATCTGAAATAAAATAATTTCAGTGATTCCTGAGGGGGGAGAAAGCCATCAACCTCTGAAATAAGACTGAACGAAGAACCGCAGCTATGCTCGGCGGTGAAGGAGAGAGCAGCACCTTCTCTTCTACGAAGGAGGCAGCGGATGAGAGGCGCAAGTCTCCAGCTGTGGATGGGGATGACCCGGCTGCTCGCAGCAGGTACACAGAGCACGGGATGGGTGCTGACCGGTACTACCTCCCTCCAGCAGTTTCTAAACAAAACCCAGAGGCAGCGAATCCCTGCTCTTTCATCCCCTATACCCCTAGTGGGACGGTTTATACCCCGTCCGGCGCTGGCAGGTACCCCTCATCTCTCCACTTGGGCTCCGTGTTGCCTCCCGGGGGGTTTTCCCCCTCCACAGCCGGCCGCAGTCACTTCAGCTCGGCTTACCAGCTCGGGCAGAGCCCCGGCTGCATCTACCCGCCCTACACCGGCTCTGGTTCCGCTCTCAGCAACATGACTCTGCCCACCGCCGGCCCAGGGATGAGGGCCCAGGTCTACCTCTGCAACCGGCCGCTGTGGCTCAAGTTCCACCGGCACCAGACCGAGATGATCATCACCAAGCAGGGCAGGTGAGAAGTCTGCAATAATGCAAATGAAACTTTCCTTTCGATTCTCATTCACTTGAATATTTTTGTTTAAATTCGCTGTCAAATTTAATTGATTTACTATAAATGCCTGCTATAATTATGTTTGAGGTGCATTATAGTTTCCAATACTGTTTGTTGATTTTATTTTGCTTTGTGTTTGCAGACGGATGTTCCCGTTTCTCAGTTTCAACATAGCTGGTCTGAGCCTGACAGCGCACTACAACGTGTTTGTGGAGGTTGTGCTGGCGGATCCGAACCACTGGAGATTTCAAGGTGGCAAGTGGGTCACCTGTGGGAAGGCGGACAACAGCAGCCAAGGTACGGAAACAGGTCGATATTTACTTTAATTCCATGTTGAATTTTTATTTGAGTTATTTACCTCTCAGTAAAAAAAATGAAATTAGTAAAATTATCTAATTAGCACGTTTTTTATTTACAAAAATAATTTAGGCTATATATTCGAAACAAAATAAGGCCAGAGGCCTATAGGTTATACTGTAGGTGTGCAATCTGAACCTTTTTTTTTTCATTTAATAACCCATTAAACTGATTACTTGAGGTTGGCTGCTGGGAGTTTGATGTCTCTAATGTCTTTCTTTATTTCAGGGAACAAAGTGTATATCCATCCAGAGTCTCCAAACACAGGGGCCCACTGGATGAGACAAGAGATCTCCTTCAGCAAACTGAAACTCACCAACAACAAAGGAACCAGTCACAATACTTCACAGGTAACTCAGAAATAAATGAAGCTAAATTAACGGCTTAAACCCTCATGGATGATTTAAATAGTCTGAATTTAAATATTAAAAGTGATTTTCGTTGAACTGTGATTAGTTGCTTGTTTTTTGTATCAACGATATAGGCTCAGGCTTTTTGCAACTGAAGGCCATTTTCAGTTTTTATATTGTTGTTGGGAAATTCATTTGCAGGCTTTTATAAGCAGAGCTGTCAAGGAGGATATGACGCTTTTGTTCTCATCAGAAGTTGTGCAATCGAATACATGAATTGTACACGTTCATCAAATAAAAAATAAAAAAATTAAGTGCAAAATTCAATGAAGTACTAAACTCAAGACGCTGTGGTAAAGTAGGGCCTTTTCAAACTCTAGAAAAATAACCGTTAAGCACCAATCATTTGCTTGTTTTTAATAATTGACGGATGATTTTTTTTTTTTTTTACCGTGTGTGTAGATGATTGTCCTGCAGTCGCTGCATAAGTACCAGCCCAGGCTGCACATCGTGGAGGTGACGGAAGACGGAGTGGAGGACATTAACAGTGACGTTAAGACTCAGAGCTTCACTTTTCCAGAGACCCAGTTTATTGCTGTCACTGCCTACCAGAACACGGATGTAAGCATGAAAATATATTGATTTTTTTTTAATTTTTTTTTATCTTACTCAGACTTGCTTGTTAAATGATGTTTTGACCCATTTGTGATTTATATTCACTGAAACTGATCCAGTGGACATGAACAACAATTTGTAATGTTAATCACCTATCTGCTATTTCCTTGTATGGGTTAACATGCATGTGGTTGATCGAGATGTAGCTACATGGTGCTTCTTCACAATTGTTCTCTCCGTATCTTCGCATAAAAATATGTTGCTTTTTCTTCCATTTTGCTTTTCTTTCAGATCACACAGCTGAAAATTGATCATAACCCTTTTGCCAAAGGATTCAGAGATAATTATGATTCGTGAGTATTTTACTTCAATGTCATGCAGTGCTCATAAGTTATAAATTGTGTATCAATATATTTTCACAATACATAAATGTATCAAATTAGATGTTTTATTGTATCAAGTTTTTATTTATTTAACAACTTCAAATCAATTTTAAGTAGTATGAGTGTGCCAACTCCTTTTGAATTTTCACACCAGTTTTTTTCACCTATACATGGACCTTTCTTGACCTCAAGTTCATAAGAATGTGTGTTTTTCAGGATGTACACAGCACCAGAGAATGACCGCCTCACCCCATCTCCAACTGACTCTCCACGTGCCCACCAGATAGTCCCTGGTGCCCGCTACACCATGCAGCCCCTCTTCCAGGACCAATTTGTCAACAACCCACCCCAGAATCGCTTCTACAACAGTGAGAGAGCAGTACCACAAACTACCAGCCTCCTCTCACCTCAGACTGAAGACGGAGCTTCGCAGAGGTGGTTTGTCACCTCCATGCAGCAAGGAGGAAACAGCACTAGCACCAGCAACAAGCTAGATCTGACACCTTATGAGGGTGAATACTCAAGCTCCCTTCTTCCTTATGGTATCAAATCCCTGTCCATGCAAACATCCCACGCTCTCAGCTACTACCCAGACTCTCCTTTCACCACCATGTCTGCTGGGTGGGGGTCCAGAGCAGCATACCAGAGAAAAGTGACTCCGAGTCTACCTTGGTCTCCCAGACCCAGTCCCACTGCTGGTTTCCCAGAAGACTCAGACAAAGTAAAACCACAGATAGAGGAGGAGGTGAATGGCAGTGGAAGCCTGATCTCCTCGTGGACAGAGACACAGGCATCAGCTCTTGGCCTTGACAAGGCTGATTCTTATTCTACAGCCTGCAAACGAAGGCGTTTGTCCCTTAATGGTCCAAGCACAGAGGACTCACCCGCTGACATCAAGTGTGAGGACTTGGCCTCAGCTGCCACCAACAGTAGCTCCTATAGCAAGGAGCCCCCTCCATCCAAAGGCATGGCAGCTTACTATTCCTTTTACACAAACCCTTGAATGATTTGTCTCTGACAGATATGGCGTCATGTTGTGATTTAGTTGTTCTTCATCTGCCACCATGAATAAGAATTATTATTTTGCGTTTTTGGTATGTGTGCACCCGGAATTTGTCTCGGTGTTGAAAAATGTTTTTTTTCCTTCTGTGGTGGCAAAGGAAATATCAAGGACACATTAAAAATAATGGCATTAAAGGTTATGAGACATGTGTGGCATAATAAGCATTGCCCCCCATGAGATGTAGGCTTATTTTGTTTGTTTTCCTTGACAATATATTTTTTGAACCCCCTTATGTAACTCTGTATTTGCAATTCTGAAAGTGCCAAAGCATTTGTTTAAGTTTCCCCATTTTTAAGAACAGTGTTATGTATGTTCTATTGTTGCATACATTACTGTATCTGGCTTTAAACTGAGATTATGTGTTTACAGATTATTTATTGAAGGCCCGTTGATATGAAAGTTGTGCACTCTTAAATGTGAGAATAATATGCTGTATATACCTTCATTTCAATGTTCAGATATTTGATAATAAAAGGCATATGTGTTGTTTGGAGTATGTGAGTGATTATTTCAAGTTAACCTTTGCCCCTGTTTAAACATAGCATACTTTAGATATGATGGACTGAAGTGTACATTTAATCTTAAATTTTTGTTTGCTATATGAATGCGCCACTTAAGGATTGTCTGTAATTACTCAAATTGTTATAGGCTGTTTGATGCATTCATAAACTTTGATTTCATTGCACATTAGACCCAAAGCTTGCACAGGGGGAGGATAAAGCCACTTAAATTGACCTGACCCACCTTTTTAAGACTTCATTTAAATGATATGTTTTTCTTGATGAACAACAAGTGGCAAGGCACAAAACAAGTTATATTAAGACTCAACTGTTCAGGGGATATGCCACAGAGCATAACTTAATGTCCTCCGAAAGTGTTATGTGTGTGTTCTGTGGACTATGTCGCACTCTAGTGGTCCTTTATTGTACTCACAGCCATTACAAACTAATCACGATAGCAGCCTGTTGAGTTGTGATGGAGACTGAGTGCCCCTGACATAATAGTGAGTTCTCCTCTCAATCTCCTCTTAACGATCAGCAGCCGAAAAGTGCAGAGTTTGAACTTTTTTTATTTTGAAGAATCCCATTCCTACTCTGTCCATGGGAACCTGACTCACATTGAATAGCATAGGTTTGTCCTATATGTAACTCTTATCTCCACATAGCACCACAAATATACACAATTATTATCCTGAGCAGAGGATGAATAAGAAGACAAGAAGTAGATGAACTTTTATTTAAAAAAAATCACGCACTTGGTTGGCCAGTGCATGTCTCTAGTGCAGAATATTGTACGTTAGGATACCACCGATAAAACTTTTTCGTTTAAATATAACTTAATTAATGTCTGTGTCTCTGGAGTTATCATAAGCTTTAGCAGTATATGAACGTTTAGTGTTTGAGAAAAAAAAGAATAAGCCGTCTTTCTCCGCCTGTTTTGGGGGTTGTGTTGAAACCTGGCAACCAGACTAGCAGCCAGCAGAGAGTCAACGGAGAGTTGACAGGAACAACATCACTGCTCTGAGCACACATTATTTATAGGGAAGCATTGCCTCACTCAACCACAAATTCCCTAGTTTTCTTGCGCTTGCGACTGACAGTTAATTCACAAGGTCAGGTCTTCGACAGCGAGATGTACCATCTGTGTAAGTCGAAATACTTGTTACTCATTGTTTACAGCGAGTTTATCAACTGCTAGCTAAGTTGGCTAGAAGCACGGTTAGCTTGCTAGCTGACCCGCTAGCGTATGCACTGACGTTAGCCAACGCAAAAGCTAGCGTCATGATGTTTTTTGTTTTGAATAACATACAGCTGGCAAGCAAGATTGTGTATTATGATTAACACTAGGCCTTCCAACAAACGGGCTGGTTTGGAGCTAACGTTATCTAAGGTCAGTTGGCTGGCGAATGTTTTCACTAACCAGAAATGTAACAAAGCGTTATCGCGGACTCTTCATTAAGACAACACAACAACACTGCTATCAGCTTGAGCTAACTAGCGAAAATATAAACACCACACAACATGGAGAAAGGCCTGCATGAAGGAGTTTAGTGACAAGTGGCAACTGACAAACTGTTACATTTTTCTATTTTATAACGCAGCTGTTACTGTTAGAGCTATACTCGGATATCGTTGGTTGGCGCTGATGTGGGGGAGTGTCGTTAACTATTGTCAGATAGGTTAATTAGTTATGTATTTGGAGAGTAACCTTATCGAGGAGTATATGTTTCCAGGTTATATAACTCTGTTCAAAGATAAGGTGTTTACAAGTGTGGGACATTGTCTGTTGGTCTCGCCCTCTGACTGTGTGGTTATGAGCGTGTCTGTCCTCACATAGCACAAGCTTGACACAGATTTATTTACAAGACAAGTTAAATTGTGCTATCTGCCTTCTCTGTTGACATGACGAATACTTTTTTGAACGTGTTAGTGGTATATTATGTAAATGTATTGGTTCCATTGCAAGGATGGCTGGATATTATGCACGGTCATAATATTGGCAATGTTTTAACACATTTAAATAAGTATACAGTATTTAGTTTTTTAGGTAAAGAACAAATAATAAATAGTGCGTGTAAAGTGACCAATTGCAAGTCTGTTCCAGAGAGTGAGGAGGAGACAAAGTCCTGTCCAGCCCCCTTTTCCCCTTACCTCCATTCTCCAATGGATTTTTTCATAGAGGGTTTCTAAAAGGCTGAAACTTGACAGTGGGAAGTTACGGTCATACTTTAAGCAGGTATCTGCCTGTGTATGTGACTGAACCATCTTGACCACCTCAGAACTTTAAACATATATACTTATTGCTTTGGTAGAGTTAAATAACTAATGTCACCACGGGAATCTTCATTGTCCAAATGTATTTATGCATGTAAATGTTTATTTTTTTCTTCAAAGTTTTGCTCATTGTCTCAGTAATGTTACTTGAACATGACACTGAACATTTCCCAAACTACAGTGAATAATAACTTTTCCTGGAAAATGACCAAGGGTTATGAAAAATGCCTGGAATTAACTCCTTGTCCACTCTTATCTGTTACACACATGCACAGCCTCTTACATAGTTTCAGATTACTGTTATTGTGTAAAGATTGGCTGATAGGATGAGGATGAGTCAGACACTTCCATCCACACTTGACTCTGTATACATAAATGGAAAAAGGTCAGTTGTCCTGCAAGTGAAATGTTGAAATTTGCTTACCATTCCCTTTGTCATACTTGCAAACCTATGGAGAGTTGGGCATTGGGTATGTACACTTGAGTGGTATTTGGGAGCATTTTTTTCTTATTTCTTTTCTTATGTACACAGTTTGCCTACTTCAAGGCAGAAATCCTTGTGCAGAAGAATTTGCATGGTGGTATGAATGAATGAAGTAGTGCACACTGCTGTAGGAGACAATGTTGTGTTCTGTGGATTTGTGCTGTAGCTCACCAAAAATACAAAAAAGTATCACACTGGCCAAACAGTCATGACCATATGGTGCTCTGGTGGAAGCGAAATGCTGACTCGCTGCATGTTGTTCTTGAGTTGAGGATCTCTTGCTTCACAATGACTCCTGGCCTCAGTAGGATGGGCAGGATTGGCACAGAGAGGCGGAAGCACCTGGTGATGCCAGAGGAAGTCTTGTCCTTCTCACTGTGTGAGCTTTGTTGGCATTATGTTTGGTTATACAAAACAAAAAATAAAAAGACAAACGCAGGGAGGTAGTTTACAGTTCTGTGGTGATGCTGACACAGGGGCTTGTGGCAGAGCAGCCTGAGCAACATTGGAGATGCATCTCTCATCTTAATGATACAGAGGGAGTGGAAGTAATTAAAATTCTTAAGACGCAGGGCTGCTTTTCCTTAAACAGTGATAGAAATACTGGCTTACTATATTGGAGTTTTTCAGTGACAGACGTGCTCAGTGACTATTTTTCTGCTAGCAAGGCCTTGTTGGACCCAGACAAAGCCATAAAGGAATTAAACCGATTTTTCTTCTTTTTTTAGGACCTTCAGTATGCTGGTCAGCTGGATTTGAGCAGGCTGAAGACAACTTAAGAGGCTGCTGTGTCAGTCAGAGCTTGAATTCGCGGTAGGAGAAGAGATGGGAAACACAGCAACCAAGTTCCGTAAGGCTCTCATCAATGGGGATGAGATGCTGGCCTGCCAACTGTATGAGAGCAACCCGCAGTTCAAGGAGGCTCTGGATCCCAACTCTACATACGGAGAGTCCTACCAGCACAACACTCCACTGCACTATGCTGCCCGGCACGCCATGACACGCCTACTCAGGTCAGGATGTGGCCTGGACAAAATCAGACAAACAAACAAGCAGATGTAATGCACACATTTGGAGTCACATCATTTTTGGACCCGCCTCTGTCGCTGAGGGAAAAAAGCACATCTAAGGGTTGATAGATCAAAGAAATAATTCGTTGAGCTTTAGGTTGTTGCTATGATACAGATTTTTTTCATTATTATTAATTGTATTTTTTATGTGGTACCCGTTCAGATATAAGCTGTCCTTTGAGCACTTCTCTTACTTTTTAGCAGTGTGTTTATCAACTGGTCCCATCTACTACTGTATTGCTGCATCGTAAGAGAAAAATTTTCATGTTTCATCTCTATATATCTCTGTCCCATCTGTCTCTCCACATAGCCATCTGTTAGCAGCTCTCAGGAATGCAACATGCTGGGGTGGAATAGGATGGGACTCTAAGAGCTTCCTATCCGACAAGCTAACAATCTCGCATTTGTTTGCCTCTTCTCAGGCCCTATCCTTTCTTTGCTAATATGATCCTTGCTCACTTTTACATTCGTACGTGACTTACATGCTAGGTGGATTTGTAAAATGGCAGCAAGTAACCTTAATGCCCAGTGGAAGCAAAATATATGGCTGCATAGATGGATGGATATGATTCTGATAATTCTAGTTTCCATATAAAGCACCAAAATTGTTAGACTCAAGACTGATTAACTAATTTCGATAATGAATTAGCTGAAGCGCAATGTGCATTTCCACATGGGTCTCTACTGTGCAAGTCTGAAGATTTGATTAAAAATTTTCTGAAATATACTTCTTAAAATGCTTTAGAATGTACAGTTACACTAAATCTCAAAACAGTTTTCAGTGATATAGGTTATTGATTATTTTCACCAATTTTTTGGTTTGTCGGATGATGAAATGATTTGGGGTTTTTTTACTTTGTTTTAAGTTATGGGCCCCCAAATAGGCTTACAAAATGAGACGAAAAATGCAGGGTTTAAATTGTAAACCCTAAAAGGTTAATTTGTGGACTAAAAAAAAGTAAAACGTTAACTAAAATGTCTTGGCTTTCCCCCCATACCAAGCCATTTCTGGGCCAATGAATTAAAGTTTGAAATCAACTGTTATTTCTCTCCTTGTCTTATTTTAGGTCTTTTCTCTTAAGCAAAGATGGAAATCCTAACAAGCGTAATGTGCACAATGAGACATCTCTGCACCTTCTCTGC